ATGCAGTTTTCTCCCAAGGGCTTCCTAAAAATAGGTTCTTCGAAGAGGCAAAAAGATTTTTCTGTCCTATGTGTGAGAAATCAATGGCTGACGAGTTTATGTCCATCAGCAAGTTCTTCACTAATGGTTTCGCTCTAGTAATCGATCTTAGGTCAACACAAGATGATACCACTGGTGGAGGTAAGAAGATTGTTAACACACAGTCGGGAGTACTCCTTGAAATCAAAAAGAGAGCCACAACAGCTGACGTTCAGTGCAACATTTTTGTTGTATCAGATGCTCTTCTTAACTTTGCTAATAGAGATCTATCAAGTATTCAATACCAATTGTAAAGTATAAAGATGCAACTTAAACCACCATTCAACATGCTCATAGTAGGAATGACTGGAAGTGGAAAGACTCAGTTCCTACTTAATATGTTAGAAACAGAGTACAGTAGAGTTTTCGATTACATTGTCATTATATGTCCAACCATAGAGTGGAATATAACATACATTAATTGGTCTCATATTAGTGATCACGGAGTTATACAAATTCCATGCTCACAAGAAATGATCAATCTAGTTCTCAAGGCAGTGTCCACTATATTCCGCGGTACCCAGACTCTCATCATAGTGGACGATTGTGCAGCTAGTCAAGATGTAAAGAAAAGAGTCTCAGAACTGGTGCGCCTAGCATTCTCCGCAAGACATTACAATATATCTGTCATTGTAATTACCCAACAACTGTCATCAGTAGCAAAGCCATTCAGGGAGAACATTTCCAGGCTAGTCACATTCTACAACCCTAGTCGTAGGGATATGAAGGTGATAACAGATGATTACCTAAGTGGTGTTCCTCAGGACACAATCACAGAGATTACAAAAATATTAAAAGATGAGAAGTTCACCACACTGGACATACTACTTATTCACCCTTACACATACACCATCAAACTAAACACCGCGTAGAATATAGAAGATGGGAAGCGAATCTGACGAAGAAATATCCAAAGCTGTGAGGGAAGTAGAAGAGGCCGCAAAGACACCGCAAAAGAAAGCTAAGTCTACCGCAAGAAAAACTAAACCCACCGCAGATAAGTCGCAAACTGAAAGCAAAAGAGACAAGCTGATAGAGCTATCGAGGGATGGTATAATAGAGAAGTCCGCAAGTTTTATAAGAAAGTCCAACAAGGATGTTATAGATAGACTATACCACGAGTATGAAAGTCAAAGGATGTCATTCGCAAGTGAATTCTTAACAACACTTATAATTTCAAAGTTTGCTTCTATACTAGGAAGTTTCGGTGCAGTGGAATCTTCAGAAAAACTGTCAGAGGAACTACTTAGTGACAAACTTCTGAAGGATGACGTAGCATATCTAACCAGAACGATATCCCCGAACATTCCATTTATAGGTCTTATATCAGGAGGTTGCACAACAGCTAAACATGTAGTTGCCCATAAGTGGAATAAGAAGGAGGAACCTGAGGAAGTGTCAGAGGAAGCTAAACATATCTTATTAAATACAGAATGTCACACCATGAGTGGGGAAACGCTTGGGAAGGAACAGAGTTTGAAGACATAATTAGTGAACTGATTGAGAAAACTGACAGGAACAAAGAAAAGCTAGATAAGATTCAAAAAACTTTGGATTCAATAGAGAAAGATTTTTATTCACTAAAGAATAAAATCATAGGACCACTCCAATATGACCTTGAGATGTTCAAGGTTGACACAATCAAAACAGTTGTAAAGATATACAAGAAACTAAATGAAATGTAGTATTTTTAAACCAGGAAGCAAACATAAACGAGGAGTAGCTGGGTGGGTAGAGGGAATGCTGCTCCATAAATTAAATTTAAATGGCTCACAAAATAGCCATAAAAATTTTTACATATATAGTATAGGGAAAGATGGAAAAACTATTCAGAAACCAGGAGTTGAATGTTAGCGTGAGAACCATTAGGTGGGGTAATGAGGTATTATTTTATGCAAAGGACGTGGCAGAGTCCTTAGGGTACGTTGATACGAAGAGAGCAATTCAGAAGCTAGTTAGGAAACAAAATAAGGTAAGTGTGTATGAGCTACGCAAGGGGGGCAATTTGTCTCCCTTCGAAAAATGTCACCCATATAAGCTACGCAAGGGAGACAATTTGTCTCCCTTTGAAAAATGTCACCCACAGACAATTTTACTATACGAACCTGGTTTGTACCAGCTAATATGTAGCTCAAGGCTCCCAATAGCGGAGGACTTTCAAGATTGGGTATTCAGGGAAGTCATACCTTCTATCCGTAAAACAGGATCGTATGAATTACCAGATAGAAGGTCACTTAGATACAACCAAGTAATTCTTGTAAATGAAACAGACCTTCATCACGCTGTTGTGAGTTACATCAGAGATAACCATCCAGAGGCTGTAATAGTACCTGGCCTAGGTGAGTACCAGGACACCGTGCAAAAGAGATGTAATGCTTGGAAGAAGGGATATAAAGGCGGCCAGCCGGATCTTATTATAGAGAATCCTATGGGGAAGTATAAGGGATTTGCCGTTGAATTCAAGTCTCCTAAGGGCACTGGGATTACAAGTGAGAAGCAAGAGGTATGGCTTAAACAACTGAGGGAAATAGGGTACATGACAATGATATCCGACGACTTAGTGAAAACTTGTATTAGAATTAACGAGTACTTCTCAATTAAGAAAACCGTAAGAAAAGTTGCAGTGAAAAGTACAGGTTGCAACGAAAATCTGTACAGACCAAGATTCAAATCACATTGGTACTAAGTTTACTGCCAAGTAAATTTGAGACATCTTACCAGTAGATTTAAGTTATCTTACAAGTTATCTCACCAGTAGATTTAAGTTATCTTACAAGTAGATTTGAGACATCTTACAAGTAAATTTAAGTTATCTTGTAAGTAGAATTCAAGATATCTCATAAGACTAAACCCAGTTAAACCTAAGGTATCTTACAAGTAGAATGGAAGATAAACCTGAGCAAATTCAAGTACCAGTAACAAGCGAGAAGAAGAAGGACCCAAGAAGAGTAGCTGCAGGGAAACGATTAGCTGCAATCAGTAAAATAGCAAAGGAGAGAAAAAAGAAACAGGCTGAACCTGGGGAGTCATCTAGTAATGATAGTATAATTACCTACATAGGAGTGGCCATTGCATTGATATCTCTTGTGCTAGCATATAAGTCGCATCAGAGGGAAACAAAGGAACTAAAACCTAAGTACATCCCTGAAACTGTCGAAGCAACTAGGAAAGCTGACGTGTCTAGGTTAGACTCACTCGAATGATACATTAAACATACCATATATTATAACAAGATGAGTAAAGAATCGAAGATGACTATGGAAGTGTACAATGCAGTGTTACTTACAGCAGGAGCAGTTGGTATATCAATGGCATCGAAAAAACTATTGAAAGAACCATTAGGTACCCCAGAAAATGTAAAAGGAATGGCGAAGTTAGCTATTTCAGTTAGCCTTTCATCTCTACTGGTCTCTTACCTGAAAGAAAAGAAGTATCTACCAGACGATCCGTTCAAAACCTAGGTAAGACTATACAATGGCGGGAGCAGTAGCAGGAGGACTCTTTAATGCATTTGCATTTGCAGGAGCAGGATTCTTATTTAAAATGTTTGATAAGAATGGATATGCTGAGGAAGCTCACAGACATAACCTTGCAATGGAGAACCTAACAGCTGAAAGAGAGAAGTACCTTGAAGAAGTCACTGATAGAAGAAATAGAATTGCCCAACTTAAGTCAGAACTAGCTGAGGCAAATAAGGATATTAATTCAACAAACCAGTCACTGGAGCTTGTTAGAAGAATCAATGAGTTAACACGTAAGCCTATGCCAAGAAAGCCGCAATTAAGTAATCACTATAAACCTAGCTCTGAGATGGAAGAGTATATGACAGTCTTTAGTTTAATCACAGGTGGGGTGGTTGGAGGGGCAGCTTATTTATTACTGTAAAACTGTTAAATAAATACGTGAATTTATTTTTACATATATAATGTAGAGAAATGGATTGGCTTTCAATGGTAACACCTGAGGAAGTGGTAGCCCTAGGAAAAAGGGTAGACACAATAGAAGAGTTAGAGGCTGCAGTTAAAAGGTATGTGGAACTAAGAATAATAAGGAGACATAAAAATACACCACGAAAACCGGCAGAAAATTTTTACACTAATAGTATAAAGGAATGGACTGGCTACTGATGGTAACACCTGATGAAATAGAATATGTAGGTAAGAATGTAAACACACTAGAAGAGCTAGAGGCTGCAGTAAGGAGGTACGTTGAGAGTAGAATAAAAACGAAAAACATATACGACCCAGTATGTAGTGAATGTGGTAGTAAGTCTATTGTAATGATAGACGGAGCAGATGTATGCACCGAGTGTGGAACAAGTGATATGAATAACTTTACATACTATGTTAGTTACAACCACAACAAGGACGACTACCTGAAAAAGAAGTCTTGTCACAACAGGGTCCGCTGGTTTGAGAGACACTTATTCAAACATGTTGCTCCTAGGGATAGGGATACCATTAGGGAGCAGTTTAGAAGTATCGTAAGATGTATACAAAGACTTAGACTGCAGCGGGGGCGCAATATAGTTAGATACAAGTTTTACCTACTGAGGATAGCCAGTATGAATGGTATCACCTTGAAGAACCCTCCTGAGGACATTAAGACTCAAAGAATCGTGAACATCCTTGAGGACAGGTTGTATGGGAAAGTTTTTGTTGATCTTGGATGGAAACCTGAGAAATGTAAATATTATGATAACTGGAAAGTTAAAAATAAAATTATAAAATAAAATTATAAAATAAAATTATAAAATAAAATTATAAAATAAAAATATAAAATAAAATTATTAAATTAAATTATTAAATTAAATTGTTAAATAAAAATACAAAATAAAAATAACAAATTAAATAAACGAATAAATCAGCAATTAAATAGGTCAATTTATTTTGACATATATTATATAGAGGAACAGTGAAAAAATGGCGAGTTACTTTGACATGAACGAATTCAGCGTAGAACAACTTATGGCACTCAACGAGATCATTGACAGCGATAGTGATATTGATGAAAGGGTGGAGGATATCATGGCGGACAAATTCTACAGGGTTGCACCTAAGGATAAGGGTAAAGATCCCTTTGAAGGAGAAAGACAATTCATAGATGAAGTCGATCGTGATATGGATGTAAACAAACCAAGACGTCTTCCCCTGAACTATAAGGGTAGAAGAGGAATCATGCCAACATGGAAGTACTCCGAAAGACAGAAGGCTAAGGCCCTACTTGTAGAGGAGGCATACCAAAGTCTACTAGCGAGGGGAGTTGAGGGGTTACCACCAACAATGGGAGGAAGATGGAGAACCGATGATCCTCAGGTGAATGCGGAAATGAAGAGAATTGAAAATGAGAGAAATCCTAAGCGTCCTAGAGGTAGACCACCAAAGCCTAAGGTTGATGGTGAAGTTAAGGTTCCTAAAAGGAAAGGTAGACCACCAAAGCCCAAAACTGACGCTGAAGTTAAGATTCCTAAAAAGAGAGGTAGACCACCAAAACCCAAAACCAATGCTGAAGTTAAGATTCCCAAAAAGAGAGGTAGACCACCTAAGGTTAAGAGGCAAACAGTTGCTGAAAGATTCCTGAGTCAAAAGAGGATAAAACTCTCAGTGCCTGCGGATAGCATTATAACTCCAACTGGTCCAGGAAAGTTTACAATTAGTGTGGATCTCAATAAGAAACCTAAAAGGAAAGCTCCTAAAATACCTAAGGGTGTAGCTCCTTGGAAACCAACACCTAAACCCAGAACTATAATTCCTAGGGAAAGACCAGTTCCTAAACCAAGAACCATAATTCCTAGGGAAAGACCAGTTCCTAAACCAAGAACCAAAAAACCAGCGCCCCCTCCAAAAACCCGCAAGCCTGCAAAAGTATCGAAGGAAGTCGAGAAGCAGCCCGTAGTGGTTACACCTGAGGAACATGAAATCGATCCATTTGGAACCTACCTAGAGAAGCCACCCCACAGGAAAATCGAAACAGCTGCAAACGGTGCTGCTGTAACTTACTCGATAACTCCTCGGTTTATGGACCCCCTAGACCAGATGATCGCAAGTAGGCAGGTGGTAAGAGGAATACTAGTAAACGAGCTGAAGAGAATGGGAGGGTTGAAATATACCGAGACAATTAAGGTGAGAATGTCAAAGGAGATCGGTAACGATAAAACAAAGAAGGACTCAATCTACTTCAAGTCTAAAACTGGCACAGCAACTAACTTCAAGGACATTGAAAGTACAGCTGCTCAAAACCAACTGACAATATTATCTAGAATTGAAACCTTTCAGAACTTAGGTTCAAACTGGATCATACTTAACATTGAGAGCCATTATGTAAACATTGCAATGTACAAACCTCTTAAGGGTAGTTCATATATGAAACTACCTGCGGACATTAGTAATCCAAAGTGTGGGCTAGTTAATATAAAAAATGATGATAATATGTGTTTTATGTGGAGTCATGTAAGACATCTAAATCCAAAGCCTAGAAGAGCAACTACAATTACACGTAAGGATAGAGAGTTCACAGACAACCTAGATTATAGCGGTATAGACTTCCCTGTAAAGATAAGTGACATCGATAAAATTGAGAGGAAAAACAGCATCAGCATATCGGTGTTCGGTTATAAGGGTAAGAAGCAGTTCTATCCTATAAGAAACTCCAAAACCCACTACGACGAGCATATGGAGTTGCTGCTGCTAGGTGATGGTAACGGTAACAACCACTACGTTCTCATAAAGGATGTAAATAGGATGCTTTTTAGTGTAAGCGGAAATTCAAACAAGAAGCACTTCTGTTTACACTGTCTTCATAGTTGTGTAAGTAAAGAGTCACTAGAAAAACATAAGGAGACATGTCTGGAGGTAAACGGAACTCAGGCCACAAAGCTTCCTAAGGAAGGTACTAAAATAAAGTTCAAAAATCACAGAAACTCGATGCCTGCACCATTCGTAATATACGCTGACTTTCAGTCTATACTGGTTCCAGAAGAGAGAAAAGTCGATTCCGAAAACATTGAGGACAAAAGCAGTACAGACCTTTACCAAACGCACAAGGCCTGTAGTTTTGGATTAAAGACAGTCTGCCATTATGATGACAAGTACTCTGGTGAGTATATAAGCTACGTTGGAGAGGATGCTGCACTGGTCTTCCTGAGAACTGTATTAAAAGAGTCCTTCAAGTGTAGAGATATGGTAAACAAAATATTCAAGAAAAAAATGGTAATTACACCCGAAGAAGAAGCTGAGTTCTGGAAGGCAAGAAACTGTTCGATATGTGGTAATGATCTCGGAGACGATAGAGTAAGAGATCACGATCATGTAACTGGACCGTATCGCGGAGCTGCTCATAACATATGCAACCTAAAATACAGAATTACATGGAAAGTACCTGTGGTCTTCCATAACCTGAGAGGTTATGATAGTCACTTGATTATGCAGGAAATCGGTAAGTTCAAAATGAACATCAATGTAATCCCAAATAATATGGAAAAATATATTTCATTCTCACTTGGTAAAAATATTGTGTTCATTGACTCCATACAATTCATGGCTTCTTCACTAGAAGCACTGGTGAGTAACCTTTCACCTGAGGACTTCAAGATAGTAGGTAAGAGGTGGAAGGGTGAGGACTTCAACCTAGTAACACAAAAAGGAGTCTTTCCATATGAATTCCTGGATGATATTAGTAAACTCGACACAGAGGGTCTTCCAAGTAGGGACAAGTTCTACTCAACACTGTATGAGTCAAAGGTGAAGGAAGAAGATTACCAAAGAGCTCAAAAAGTATGGGACCACTTTGGAATGAAAACTATGAGAGACTACCACGATCTCTACCTAGAAACTGACGTATTACTTCTTGCTGACGTGTTTGAAAACTTTAGAAGAACCTGCCTGGAAAATTACAAGCTTGACCCTGCACACTACATATCAGCACCCAGTCTAAGTTGGGACGCCTTCCTAAAACAGTCAGGTGAGGAAATAGAACTCGTAAGCGATATGGATATGTTCCAGTTCTTTGAGAAGGGAATGAGAGGTGGTATAAGTCATATTGCCCATAGACACTCAGCAGCAAATAATAAGTACATGGAGACGTATAATGAGGAGCTTGAAAACAAGTACCTTATGTACCTCGACGCTAATAATTTATATGGTTGGGCAATGTCACAATCACTACCTAATGGAGAGTTTGAGTGGGTTGAGAAAGTTGATGGTATGAATCTAGATGATTACCTAGAAGACAACGGTAGAGGGATGGTTTTAGAGGTTGACCTGGATTACCCGCAAGAACTTCACGATCCACACAACGGTTATCCTCTAGCACCAGAGAGTAAAGAAATTAGTTCTTCTATGTTGTCAAGTTACGCGAAGAGTATTGCCGACAAATTCCAGCTGACAATTGGAGGAGTAAGAAAACTGGTAAACTCCCTAGGACCTAGAAAGAATTACGTCCTGCACGCCCGTAATCTAAAACTCTACACGGACCTCGGAATGAAACTAACAAAGGTCCATAGAGCTGTCTCATTCAAACAGTCCCCCTGGCTTAAGAACTATATTGACTTCAATACAAAGAAAAGGTCAGTAGCCCGTAACACGTTCGAAAAGAACTTCTTCAAGTTAATGAACAACTCAATCTACGGGAAGACAATGGAAAATCTCAGGAAAAGAGTTGATGTTAAATTAGTGTCTTCGGAAGACGACCTCCTAAAACTAACAGCATCACCGTGCTTCCAATCACATAGAATTATGAATGAGAACCTAATAGTTGTAAAAAGGATGAAGGAAGTTTTAACCCTAAATAAACCATGCTACGTGGGAATGAGCATCTTAGACTTATCAAAGACCCTAATGTACGACTTCCACTACAACACAATCAAGAAGGAGTACGGTAACAAGTCAAAGCTACTATCCACGGATACAGACAGTTTAATGTATGAAATAAAGACAGACGATGTCTACGAGGACTTCAGAAAAATCGGTGAAGAAAAAGACTGTTGGGATAACTCGGACTACCCAAAAGATTCCCCGTACTACTCAACTCATAATAAGAAGGTTATTGGTAAGTTTAAGGATGAAGCTGCAGGAGTACCAGTAATTGAGTTTGTTGGGTTAAGGTCGAAGATGTACTCTTACGTAAAGGAAAATGGTGGAGGTGGAATGACGGCTAAAGGAGTCAAAAAGTACGTCATCAGAAATAAGCTTACTCATGAAAACTTCAAGAACGTAATTAACATGAAAGGTCGGATGAGACACAACATGAACACAATCAGAAGCGTCAAGCATAAAATAGGAACCTACGAACTGAAGAAAGTAACTCTTAGCTGTTTCGATGACAAAAGATACTTACTTGAAGATGGAGTTACAAGTTACGCTTATGGGCACCACATAATTGGAAAAACAGACGCTGAAGTGCTGATTGAAGAAAAAATAGAACCAAGCTGCCTACTAGTAAGAGTGGAACCAAAAAGTGAATACTGTACGTTCGGAAAAGCCGAAATCACTCACGACGAAATTCCTGGAGGCCCAGTTATAAAAAAAGGGCAACACAAGATCGGAAGTGTACCGGGACTGGTTAAAGGACTGCTACGAAGCAGGAAGTTCACTTGCTGCATACGCAAGGTGAAACTTCTACGACCTAGAACTGGAGGACGACGTTTTCAAAAGTGATGAAGAAAATGTGGAACCTGAAGTAGAGGAATACATACCCAGACCAGAATTCAAAGTTGTGGTGCCCATAAAAAGATGGAAGTTCAAGAAACTGCAACCGTTAAGAGTGCTCGTGCCTGACATTAATCACATAAGACAGAACCTGGACATACTACCACCAGAATCGAAGAAAGAACTGGAAATGTTGATGAAAATGAAATCTCAAGCATTAGGTGTAAAACTTGTAAGAAGTCCCGGGAACAAGGATGACGGAGTTCTCATAGGATACTAGAGAAGTTGAATAGGATTTGGAATTTAGAAGTTGGAAATAACTGATGAAGATTTGAGAGAATATGAGGTTTAGAAAACCACTGTGGTCTAGAAAATAAATTCATGAATAAAATTAAGAAGAAATAACCAGATTTCACAAATGGACTTTTGGTTCACGGAAAAACCGTCCGGACCCTAGTGGTCTAGAACCCTCATTCCCTATACTACTCGTGTTTCTTCTATGGGACCTTAGTTCATCATCACAGTGCTCGACAGTGTTCTAATTGGACATTAGTGAGGAATTGAATGGCTTTCTTTCATTTTCTAAGGTTTCTACAAAAATGATGCCAAATAGTAAAATACAGAAGTATTTCTCGGCACAAATTGTTGAATATCGAAATACACCACTATGCCAAGCACTTATAATTTCCTTGATCCTGTGCCGATATGCCGACGACCACCTTCGCGATTCCAAGCCGGAGATCTCTGGCGTGGAGTGCATAGAATGCACTTTGGGCAAAATGTACATGGCGGTAGCACCAATGCAGGGGGGGGGGGAGAAGGGAGTGGCTAACTTTTGGAAGCTGAGGATTGAGCCCTCCAACTGGTTATACAATGAAAGCTACTCTTAATTAAATAGTTTACTTTAAAGACAATACATCTCGAAAAACTTCAATGATACATCTGTTCCTAAAAGAATTAAATAATATGGTATACACACAATGCATAATGGTTTTTCTGCCATATGAAAACAAGGTCAGCTGGTCCAATGTCGATAGGGCTCATTTCAAAACATATACCTTGAAAAAAAACATATAAGTTATAAAACATATAAGTTGACTTTGTTTTCCCTTGTTGTGTTGACTTCGAAGCATGTACAAAAACAAAATTCAACATCAAAATTGATGTTACAGCATCATTTTCGAGATGCTCGTTCCCAGGTCCCAAATACAAACAAGACATTATGCATAGAGTCTATACAATTATACTGGCTGAAAATAAATCAAAATGCATGCTGTTTATTATGATCATAAATAGTTTACTATAAAACTTGCTGAAAATCAAATACTTTGCAGGATCCCCTTATCAGGCCTTCAAGGGGTTTGACAACCTCACCCCCCCCCCTCAAAATCAACAGTCTTCTCACAGCCCTGAAAATGTTGTATATTTTTTCAAACACAATACTTAACATATATCATGCTTTAGCGGAACCGTCCCCAAAGGAGAGCATTTACTTCTTCATTTTTGCAAATTTGAACAATACTCCCATCAGATTTGAGTTTTTCCATATAAAAGGAATGTTTTAACATTTAAAAATGGACATAGGGGTACCTGCATAATCGGCTTGGGTAAAAATATTTTTGTTTCACTATGGTATTTGATGGATATTTAAAGTGTATTGAGTTAATTAGCTCAAGAAGAATACCACTACCCATACTATGTAAGAACATTTTTGAGTCCCGCAGTCTGTAAACCATGTTTTATTTCTTTTCTCTACATATCAAATTACCTATATAGCTTATTCTTTCCCATTCCATTAAATATTTTTATACCAAAAATATTCTGATAATATTCTGACACAGAATATCTGGTGTGTTTTATTCCAACGTAGTCCGCCCCGAATATTACCAATATTCCAACAATATTCCGACGGAATATCACGGAATATCCCGAGTATTAATGATATTCCTAACCGTATTCCAGAGTATAGAGCTCGGAATATTCGACTTTTTTCGCAGTGAATGAAGAGCCAGCCTGAGAGTCCGGATAATTTTAATCATTCTAGGTTGTCAGCCTGAGAATTTTGATTTGCTGAATTTAGTTTGAATGGTATGTGATTGGCTTCATTTAACTTAAATGGCATACAAGCGAATTTAATATTCAGGATTTAAAAATAACGACAATAATACAAAAATATTTTCAGTCATTTTCAACAGACTTTACACCAGATGTTTCACAAGTTCGTTCCATGCTTCATATATATGTTTCAAATTTGGAATATTGGTTGGTTAATTTGTAACGAACTTCCTAACAAACTTTGTTGATGAAAGTGTGAACTTGGCAAATTCGATGAATGTCAATGTTGGAATGTCAAGAAAATTGTGAAACTTGCAAAACAAATTGTGTATATAATGCCTAAAATAGGACAGAGGTTCAAAAAGTTTTTGTATGGTATGCGTCCCATCATACCACTACTGTTTAATCTTTGTTTAATTTTATAATTTAGCATATTTCATGTTTTAAGTAATAATTATTGCATGTTTGACAAACATTAATTACAAAGAAACATAGAAATAAAATATAGTGCCGTTCTATCATACTATCATCGTACTATAGAAATCATGAAATATAGTGCCGTTCTATCGTACTATCCCTGGTAGAAATCTTAGGTAGGATCCTAACAGGATCCTAACAAGATCCTAACAGGATCCTAACAGGATCCTAGCAGGATCTTGCTAAGACCCTACTAGGATCCTACAAGATACATACCAGGATCCTATTCAGGATCCTGTGGGATCCTATTCAGGATCCTACAGGATCCTATGCAGGATCATACAGGATCCTATTCAGGATCCTACAAATCCTATTCAGGATCCTACAAAGTTCCTAGCAGGATCTTGTCAGGTTCCTGCAAGTTTCTAGCAGGATCCTATCAGGATCCTACAATGTTCCTGGCAGGATCTTGTCAGGATCCTGCAAAGTCCCTAGCAGGATCCTGTAGGATCTTATCAGGATCTTACAAAGTTCCTAGCAGGATCCTATAGGATTTTGCCAGGATCCTACTGAATTCCTGGCAGAATCCTATAGGATTTTGTCAGGATATACAGAATCTAATGTCAGGAGCTGCACTGCAAAGCACAAAATTACTTGCTTTCAAGAAAATTTTACTTGTCCTGTGGGTAAGTAAAATATTCTAGGTAAGAATCAGATTTCAAGAAAATTATTCTTAAAATAAGAAAATTTTTCTTCGTTAGAACAAAATTCTTGGTAAGAAAATTTTTTCTAATTTTGTCCTGTACTAAAACAATTAAGAATGTTTAAAATAATATATTTAACAGCTATACATGAATAGGTTATTAACCTAGGTTATTAATTAATCCATTAAGCTACAGAGCTTCCCCATTGATGAGTAAAATCATCTGGCATTAGACAAGTAAAAAAATAAGTAGGGCGCATTGTGGTTCAATCGGTTAAAGTAATTACCGATAGATAAAAGTTCTCATTCGTAGCAATATTCTTCAATTTCTTGAAAAGCCTTTACCATGTCAGACTGCCAAGTCTAGATGGGTAGTCCAAGTCGAGCAGGTAGAACGACACCAGGAAGCAAATCACAGCTTTGCCATTCTCGAATGTTACCAATAGCTCCTTGTCATGATCAGCCCTGGTTCAGTATGTCATGGATCAGCGGGCTTCTTTTGTAGCCAGGTAGTCATCAAGGCCATGTCTCCTTCCTCTTTTGGAAAAAACCCCACAAAATTAGTTTTGGTAACAACTACACAACCCATTAATTAACAGCTTATTTTTTCACTAACAAGCTATCCTCTGGGACTAGACACTAGAGCGAAATACTACGATGGATGGAATAAGAGAAAGTTAAGAGAGTCAGTTTTGTTAGCCCATATTAATATTTAACTTATCTCAACTATAGGAAGGCTCAAAACTAAGAAGATGCATACATACACTAAATTTGATTCAGGCCTTACTAAATGAATTTTATAAAATGAGACTATAACCTCATCTCAACAAAGTTTATGATGTCCACTTTGCTCTTAGCTGAGCCTGAGGTTTACTTTTTTATTTGAAGAGTGAATTAATGTTCTTCATTAGGTGAAGTACTTTTGTGTCTAGAATTACATGCATAAAAATTACCAGATGACTGTTCATGTAAATAAGTGGGTCCAATTGATCAATCAGCTTCTTTTCACAATTCCTCATGTATGCACTTTCTTCTGCTTTAATTCTATATATTGGGTTAACAATTTTATGATGCAGATAGATAACATTGTGATTTCCTCAAGTTTAATACTCTCAAATATAAATTTTCATGTATATTAGGGCCATTTATACGAGCGAAAATAAGTAGTGGCTTAAATAAGTCACGAACGACTGGTATAAACAGTCAATTTGTTCGCAAGCGCGGCTAAAATAAGCCCAGGCTTGAAAGCTAGATCTAAATTAGCCGCGGCTTATTGCAAATTGACTTTTTATATGAGTCGTTTGCGACTTATTTAAGCCGCGGCTTATTTTATAGGCCGCGTCTTTAAATATTTTCGCTCGTATAAATTGCCCTATTGTTTAATATACCATGTGGGTTCAAACATGCTTTATCGAGTTTTATCAAACAAGTGCAACCCAGTATTTACTATAATGTGTTTATTCAAAATTTGAATTGTTGATTTTGACTAATATTTGACGGCATTGAAATGAAATAATTCAATATAAATCTCGCGTGCGCAAAATTCAAATTTTAGCAGCCACAACAGGCAAACAGCCACAAGATAAAATGCGTAAATAGTGTCGATGGACGTTATAATTATATGATATAAACAGTAATATTTCATACCTGAGATCAATAAGGCTTTGGCAGGGTTCGGAGTCACTTATCCAATACGAAATATAGCTTTTCCTTGGCTTTTCTTCATCGAAATATACTCAAACGAAAAACATCACACTTCACTTGACATTTGATACACAATATCCCATAACTCATTGTGCGTGTGGGCCCTTGTCTTCTAAAATAGATACACCAAAAAGCGCTAGCTACCCTGGATTCCAGAGCCTTCAGTAAATAATAAATTGAAATGTCGCGAAGGCTCTGGTTCAACGGGAGGGTTATTTGATTAAACCACGCCAATCACAAAACAGAATTAGTGGTTTTAGTACAGATTCTGTACTAAAACCACTTTCAATTTATTGTTTACTGAAGACTCTGGAATCCAGGGTAATGGCTAGCTTGAAACTGTGTGAAGCATTAATCTGGGCAAAAAATGATCATAAAAAAATGGTGAAAATTTTAATAAGCGAATAATGAGATAGATTTTCTAAAAAAATTATATATTTCAATTCAATATATCTCATCTTAGCCAAGCTAAAATTGCCTAAGGGATTAATGGTCATTTCATAGATTTTCTTTTTAGGATCCCACTCAGGATCCTGTCACTTTTCCTGGTAGGATCCTAGGATTCTAACAAGATCCTAGTCAGGATCCTGTTGATTATAGGATCTTGATAGGATCCTAATTCAGTTCCTATTACTTTTAGGTTTCCTATCAGGATCCTATTCAGGATCCTGTTAATTTCAGGATCCTAACAAGATCCTACAGGATCCTATAGGATCCTGCATAGGATTTCTACCAGGGATCGTACTATAGGAATCATGAAATATAGAAATATAGTGCCGTACTATCGTACTATAGAAATCATGAAATATAGAAATATAGTGTCGTTCTATCGTACCATAGAAATCATGAAATATAGTACCGTTCTATCATACTATCATACCATGGAAATCATGAAATATAGAAATATAGTGCCGTTCTATCGTACCATAGAAATCATCATGAAATATAGAAATAATAGTGTCGTTCTATCATACTATCGTACTATAGAAATCATGAAACATAGAAATAATAGTGTCGTTCTATCGTACTATCGTACCATAGAAATCATGAAATATAGAAATAATAGTGTCGTTCTATCATACCATTGTACAGTATATTTCAGTATTGTTTGTCTTTTGTTAAAAATACATCATCCTCTTTGTGGTTCCATATCTCTTTCTCGACAGGCCGGTTTTGCATTACATTTCAATTCAATTTTTCTAATATAAATATCTCGGCGAGTATTTACCCCCCTTTTAAATAAATGCCACCATTGAAATCCTCATAAAATAACCTTTCGAACGGGGGGTCAAGTGCCGTCAAAACATTACACAAAGCGAAACAATCATATATTTACTCACCGCTTGGCCAAAGATTCTAAATTTCATATCCACAAGATCTTGAATACCCCTTGAACTTTTCGTCATTTGCTGAACGGCTATACATGTAAAATACTCTCTGTATTCAAGCGCTTTCGTGTAGAAAGTTTTGTATCTATACGCCGACTAGAAATATTTATTTTGAATTTTTCAAGATGTCAGGTTTTACTCGCACTTGCATACATTGCGCAATAATTGGCCAATAAGAAGCTCCTTTGGCCGGGATAACGTCAAACTCACGCGTGTAGGTGCAATTTGACCTTGCGAATCCATTTCTGGCCTTTCCAGGGTCATACGATACAAACGCCGCATTGTTTTGACAGTTTTCAGTCGTATATCCGGTTGGGATTAATTCACTTCGAGCTCACAGTCGGACAAGAAATGGAAATATATTGATAAAAGATACAGATTTGTAGATTCAGGGTTGCAAATAACACTCCAAAAACACTATTTAATGGGGATTCGAACAAGACTATTACAAAGACGATATGTTCGATGGGGCTGAAGTTATTTTCGGCAAAAGGTATGGCTAGTCTATAATAATCTGTATTTTTGTTCAGACAATTGCATAATTTGATGCAATATGATCGTTTTGACTTTCAAAGGCCCATAAATCGTTACAATATTAATAATGACTATAACTATCGTTTGGAACTAGTTGATATTTGAATCTGAATCGAATGGTGGTATTTCTGTCTTCATAGCATGCACTGAACCGAAAGTATGAAATTTCGAGCCGTCGATCGCTAGCGGTCGACGAAAATTGGGTCTGTTGAGAAAGAGATATATATGCAATTTCAACTGCATGCAGCAACCAGTGATATTCACTTTTATATACTCAGGTGTTAGCTAGCCCATATACTGTCCGTTTGACGGACTCTTCCCAATTGAAGTAGCTAAGGGGCTTTCCCAACTGGTTCTACTGGAAGATTTTCATTTTTTCTGATGAGAAAGTGCATTGCGTTTGATTTTATATTATTATATCAAAGAACGATTTATTTACATTTTCCCATTAACTATTTTCTCAAAATGTATCGCGTGTCATTCATATTGGGTGTGTATGAAATGAAATGTACAAAACAAAGTGTAATCGGTGTGCATCTGTGTTCATTCACCGGAAATGAAATATACAAAACGAAGTGACATCGGGTGCATTTATCAGTGTTCATTTAGGAATGTACAAAACCAAGCTACCTTTGTTGATCTAAGGAGAAACACGTTGGAAAAAAACTTTGATCGGTCAAAAAAACTTTCCCAATTTACGTTCAAACGGACAAAACTTTTTTTTTCTGGCTAACACCCTGATACTAGGTAATAGTATAAAAAGGAGTTGGTCAGGTTGCCTCTGTTAACGATTGCAACGGGTATTCATCTTGTTATTTGAAAGTGATTTTCATTACCTGGGGATTCAGTAATGAAATTATGACATCATAGGTCGCGGTCCAAAATTTGTCCGAGGGCCCTGCGATATCTCTCAGTGAATTCGACTCGCCCTGCATGAGCTGACCAGAGTGAACTGATATTAGCATTAAAGTGCCCCTGGCAGCAAAAATTTTTATTGGCGATATTAAATCTAGGTATGATTTCTAGCGTATCCGTGAAAAAATTTTTCAATTTGGTCAAATCGTTCCATTTTTATGGCGTTTTAAAGTTGGCTTTCAATGGACCTTGTCCGCCGTGGCAAGGAGTCCGGGTCTAGCCCAATTTCTGACGTCACGCAAGGCAGTCGGCATTTAGCTTTGATCGATTTGGATTGTTGTTTTGCTGTTTCAGTCGGTGATTCTGTTTTATATTTGCTCAAAAATACTATGTCTGACCATGAAACTGATTCGGAGGAGAGTTATCAAACTGATGACTCCGATATAAACTTTATTCCGGGGTACATATGGAATGCCCTGACCTTGGAAGTTCGGATGATGGCTCGAGCGTTGAAGAGGACAACGCGGGCCTAGCATATGCCGATGAACCTTTGGCTGACGACGAGTGGCTACAAAACTACAACAGGCAAGAAAGTGAACGGCTAGAATTACAAGAAAAGCTAGGGAGAAGACCGGATGGTTCTGTTGAAGTGAGCGAGTGGTAAGTACTTGGTAAACATCGATAAAATTCGTGTTTGTTTCGGATTATTAATATCGAATATATGCGTGGAAATTTTATGATTTCTATCTATAAACTTCGAATGTTTTTCTCCTTTTTTATCACAGGTGCAATTGTGGGAATTGTGACATAACCTTACTAACAAATAATAGTGAATGTCATTGTTGTTGTTTTGAACTGGAAGGATGCGAGGAAGCTATGAATCGCGAAGAAGTCATACAGGATCTCAAAGCCGAAGGCGTGCAAAATGCGAAGTGTGTAACACAACACCCGGGATTCAACCCCGTATGCCTTCAAAAGTGGAGTTTGAAGATGGCTGCTGACAGATATAAAACCAAAGATAAAAGCAAATACAGTCAAACGTCAACAGAGAATAGGTTAGACAATTTATTCAATTATGTTGTTAAAATTTTTCTTTGTTGCCAAAGTTTTACCTCTTGACTTGTTTATTTATGCACCTATCAATGTTTTCCCCCTGAGGGGGGGGGGGTGCGGGCAACCCAGGGCATCCCCGCTGTTGGGCAAGAAACGGCCGTCAAAATTCCCCACTATATTTCTAAGATAACAAAGCACATATATGTTTTCCAATGCAAACATACAGGTCTATACTGGTTTAAACTTGGTAAAAATTGAGACACTGTGTATAAAAGGCTATAAAATACCTTTTTCGATGAAACTTGATCGTGCTTCTCCGCCATACTTGTTACCAGGCCTTTCAATGTCAAAACTGTGCAAACTTTCAAGATGGCGGATGTCGGAAATTTCCCAACTCTGGGAGTTGATGCATAGGTCAGATTTCCCTCACTGGGGCTTCATAGTGTGGTCAAATTCCCCTGGGTCGCCTGCATCCCCCCCCCCCTCAGGGGGAAAACAGTGATAGGTGCATTAAAATTAGCCTCTCAATACATTACTATATATTAGAGGTGTGCAAATCCGATCCGCATCCGATCCGTTCGGATTTCGGAACCAAAATATTCATTTCGTATCGATAAAGTTGTTTCATAGTCGGATCGGACTTCGATATCCGAAATAAAATGAATTAATTATCTAATGCATTATTCGTTTGATACTTCAATTGGAATTGGAATTTGTCAGCTTCTTGACATGTATTTCTTGCTTTTATATTTATTTGGTTAAATATTTCAACTTGAATGAGAAATTTATTTTATTAAAGAATTCTTCGGATCGGATCGAAACTCGGATTCAGATTAGACAATTTCGGATCGGATCAGATTTTAAACATAGGCAATTGTCGGATTATAAACGTCCAATCCGATCCGATGCACACCTCTACTATATGTATAGGTAGATAATGATTTGCTAAATACAAAGATAGAAAATATCAATTTATACTTTTGTAAATGAGGACTATACTGTAATTGCAGGCAACTTCTTAGCCTGGTTCACATGGTAACAAATCATGAACTTCCATTTATTTTGTTTTAGCTTTCTACGCAGTATCTCATATAGAGAGTTCACAAGACTAATATATGGACTTCTTGGCAACAGAAGAATCCCACTACCTGCATGTGCCTACATTGCAATAAGAAATACATTTCCCATCATGGAAAAGGAAGGACAGTTTACTGGATATTCTGATGACTCGGACTAGTTTCTTTATTCTGCAGGGGTTACGTGGGAATGAACAGCTATAGCTTTGAAATATTTGGTATAAATAAAGTATAATGAATAAAATATGACATACTGAACATTTGCCATTTTTTATGAACTGTGTGCAATGATCATGGTATTATCGAGGTATCGTTATATTCTTTTATTAAGTGTCAGCTCTTAAAAGAGCTTTTTTGTTTTGCTTGAAGCAAGCTTTTCTTTCATGATACCTAGGCCTAAGTTCTTATCTGTTTTTTGGACAATCTATATCTTTAGTATGCCCCTTCATTGGATGTCCACATGTTCGACAATGGCGTTTTGGACCTTCATTATTTTTCTTTGCCTCCTTTTGTCGCCTAAGTTGTTCCAGATGTTGCAATACTATACAAAGTTGATATAACAAACTTTTTAGTCTAATTTCTGACAAATAAATTTGTCTCTGTCATGGAGTAAAAAACAAAAATGGGAGTGATTTAACCAAACATGAAAAAACAACAGATTTTACAAAGTATTACAAACCAGGAATACTGGGTGGAACATCTTCAATGGTCATTTCTCTCCTGTCATTTATTTTCCTCACTGCCTCCTCCTTTGTATGCTTATTTAGCATTGTGTTCATAGCAGGGGGGCACATTTGCTTCAGTTCAGCTTCCTTGCTTTTCAGGTCCTTTTCAGTCGCTGACAAGAAAGTCTCGTATATTTCTTGTAATCTATAAAAAAAGTTAACAAAGTATATTGTAAATAGTTAAATATAAGACAGCATTATAGACGGCTGGCCATGACATGATTTTGTACAACTTGATGGCAACTTTATGTTAGAAGTTGGTAACAGGTATTTTCTTATAGTTTAAGCCTTGGTATGAGAGAACATGAGATTTTAAATTTTTTGCCATCATAGTAATCTAATAGGCAAAATTTAAAAATTCTCAAATTTTCGGCTATAAAGCAAAAATCAGAAGTGGTAACACATATAGTCTTGTTCACCAAGGCTTAAACTATAAGAAAATGCCTGTTACCAACTTCTAACATAAAGTTGCCATCAACTCTCTTTGAAGGCACTTTTTGCTACCTTGGCCGGCCGACTATTACCATTTGCAGATAAACAGAAACTTACCAAAGTTCTGAGCAACCCTAACACTTCGAATTGTGGCCTCTCCATTCTTGAATTTGGGGTAGCTGACCTTTATTCTTTCAGATTTATCGGGATTGGTTTTTTTCTCTCTGCAGGTTGCTGTTAAAGTGTATTACAGCTAGAATATGCCTAATTATGTAAAAGATATATATATTAACTCTAATTGCTCTCATAATGTGCTAATAGACTGTTCTTCACCAATCAAAGTAATAAACATTTAAATTAGAAGAGATTCTAACCAGCAGTATTGTCCAACATAAGAGTACGCAATCATCTTGGGTGCAAAGTGATTGAGAACACTATGAAAGCCCTCTAGACAGCTGGTTTGTGCTAATGGAGAAGCTTTCTTGATACCATTCATAAGCCTTTTGTTTGTAAGTGCAGCACACACTTTGTTATGGAGGGGTGAATCTATAGGAAAGGAATATAAATAAAACATTTTCCTGTTCATGTATGCACCATATTGTGAATATATTCTGATGAGCCGGACATGCTGCAACAAGAAACTGGGTAGTTGTAAAATTCATACTGTAAACTATATGCCATCATAAACATTTAAGGCCAAATGTTTTACATACCAATGGTCAACCACTTTCTAGCAGGAATGTTGCTTCCATGAGCACACTTGTCAAACAGTGGATCACTGTGCCCTGAATGGATGTTGACAATGTGCTGTAGAAAGGATTTGAATTTTGCCCAGATTACCAAACCATTGCCATCATAAGTTGAAGAAGCACTCCAGTGCAGGTGGTTTTCACATGGCTTTATCCACTCATTCAGTGCCTCACAGTCTTTCTCTTTCGCAATTTTGAAAAGCACTTTTCTTATTTCTGCAAGCAATAAAATTTTCAAACAGAAAACAATGTCAACAAGAATTGAAGGAAAATAGTGAAGGGCCCGAAGGCTTAATTTAATTATCATAAACTAACTCATCAGTAATTCAGTGATGTTTATAGCTCAGTGGGTTCTCATCCTAACTCCTAAGCAGTCTGGACATTAGCATGAATTATATTATTTAAAAAATTGGAAATATTCTCACTTTTCTTCAAGTGCCACACATCGAAATAGTGGATAATTTGTTTCAAAACTGTCCGCATATACTTTGCAATTGAAGTATGCCTGTCTGATATGAAGGTAGTAATGGTGAGGCCATAGTTGATAAGGTAGTCCATGGATAACTTAAAAGACATAAACTCCATTGCTGGACTACTTCCTGCCTGATTTCTCTAAAAGGAAGAAAAACAATGTTGCAATAACAGTTGTTAGTGTCATTGAATAATCAAGAGCTAGTAACTAGTAAGTGAAGCTATAGTATTATTTACAGTATTCCTACCTGCACAAGATTAAAATGAATAATTTGTGCAAGAGTACAACAAAAAATTGTATATGCACAAAACTTGGCAGAATGACCCATGCTGTCATGCCGATCATCCCCTGCCAGAGCAACACCATTTCTTAGTTTCTTGGCTTTCTCCAACAACAATGACTGGTACTTCTTCCAGTGAAAGAAGATGGTGGGGAATAGCACAGTCTATATAGTACAACATAATTTATAAATTATATAGTTCAAATATATTGTATCAACCAATGGGCCATTCCATTTAATGTAGGCACCATCCCCCCCCCCCTAAATCCTATGGGGGGGGGGTGTTTTTATCTTAAATTTTCCTAGAGGGTAGCTTAGGAAATTGTCCAAAAATAGCAAAAATTAGGTGTTTTAGTGATATCCAAGGGGGTAAATTACTAAAAATGATAT